TCGATACGAATTATGATGGCGTTTTTTTCTCAGCTCCACATCTTCACGTTTCTGTGGAAGCGTCCTGTCTCAATGGGTAGCAAACAAAAGATCACAGTTTTTGCCTTCTAATGACCAGAAATATCGCGTTATAGCAAAAGTCTCATACTAAGCTATCCGACAGGTAAGCTCTTTCTCAAGATAATAATTTTTGCATTCCTCTCTCCATGTACGAGGAGAGTTGGTTCCACCGTAGGATCTTAGGGGGTTGCCTTGGAGCTGTGGTTGTAGATTTGTGCGAATAGGACCTCGGCGCATCACCCTGAGATATCGATAAATCCTTGTGAGCTTTCGTCCATCAGAGCAGGATGCCATTTTCGACGATATTATTAAGGGATTCTTCGAAACCCAGTTTTTATACATGTAAATTTGCAATGCCTGTCCCCTCACGCATCTACACCGCATCATATTACGTAAGTTATTATGCATTTAAGAATGCTCTTTTATTGGTCCTTTTTATTACATCCTCAGTACTTCGTACCTGCTCACTCCTCATTAGTGAATAAAATCCGTAAATTGACCTCCCTTAAAACATAAGGAAAATTACTTGTGGCTGTGACTGTCGATGTGCGTAAAGTTCTCCTTAATATGGCATCTTTTGATCCATCTTTTCAGTTAAAATTACGTGCAAAACAACGTAAACTAATTGCCTGATTCTTTTAAATACATTTTTACTCCATTTATATAAAAAGTTGTCTATATTAATAAAAATGTATCCTCTTAAGAAGCTCTAAAAGTTATATTAAAAACGAAAGAACTACAGTTTTAAGTACCAATATGATTATTTTATTTTTTATAGATAAATTAACTTTATACACCAGCACGATTCTATTTTATTAAACTAGTGACTACAAAACGGTTCCATCAGCATAATTCTCTGGTAATCAAAATTCATGAATTACTCTGATTTTTTACTAAAAAATAAGTTATAACCAAGTTGTTCCAAAAGTATATTTGAATTTAATATTTATTCTATCATATTGACTCATATATAAATACTTGTAGGGCTCGGTATTATTAGTTAAGCTAGATTGCTAGCACGACCTTGACTTCCCGCAGGTCTTTTGGTTCACCCTACGGCGTGCTCTTCACGCTACTTATTTTCTGTTTGTGATGGAAAATCTTAGCAGAATACACATTAATTCTTTCAATTTCTTTCTTGATGATTTATTATATAGAATGGTGAAAGTGAGCTTTTCCTATTTAATGGTTTAAGCGTTTTCCAGAAGTTGAAATAGTTACACCTAATTGTGACGTGCACACACTCTCCCTCAACGTAATTATCACTTGCTTCATTTACCCATGTTAGTTTGCACAGCTTCATCCTCCAATCAATCAAGATACTTCCACCCGTTTATATCCTCATGAGGTAATTTTCTTTAATAAATGCCCTAAAAATTAGTGTCGTCGTCAGGGCAAAAGTTACTCTGGTTCACTGAATATCCGTATAATTGTTCGTAAAAATGGAGTTTCTCAAGGGATTATTGAAGCTACCTGCTCCGATATTCCAATTATGGTTCTTTCTAGAGCCTGCAACCTCTCAAAAATTCCTAGATCAACATTTCCTGCTCATAATGAGGAAGAACAAGAAATAGGTGGCTATTTTATAGCACATGGAAAGGAGAGAGTAATACGGTTAATAATAGTAATAAGAAGAAACTATGTAAGCTGCTATGTCGTGTTATTTCAGCCAATTGCTTTATCTAGAAAAAGCTTTAAGAAAAGAGGGGATGGCTATACCGAACATGGTATATTAATGCGGTGCGTTAGAGACGATGAAGTCTCTTCGGTAAGAACATAGTC